TTGCCCAAGCCACTTTCGCAGCACGCGATGTATATCGCGACAGCGATGACGTACGCGTTTGGCGTCAGCTGTATCGACACGATCCCGAAGTGATCCAGGACCAACCTGATGAAAGGATGGAGGGGAATCCTCCCTCCACCCTTGAATCTCTTCGAGATCACGGCAAGGCCATCGGCAGGCGCCGTGACTACCTGTGTATGGTCGAGGAACACCTTCGTGCGGACATCAAACTGCCTTTTTATCCTATCGAATTCCTCTGGGGCGAGGACTGAGAAGACATCAAGGACGCGTCCTCGGGAACTTCCCGGGGACTGGCCCTTCCTCGTTCTGGATGTTGACGGTTCCATTCCAGTCTGCAACATCGACAGACACGGTCATTTAGGCCTTCGTTTTGTCCCGTCGGCGGCAGGACAAATTCTTAAACCCTAATAGTAACTCGAACCGCCGTCCACGGCTCGAATCCAATGACGGTGTCACGTCTCTGGTGAAACACCGGAGACCCAACGCCATCGCCCAACCAAGCAAATGCAAAGAAAAAGAAGAAGAAGAGAATCTTACCTTCTGGGATGAGTAACCGAGCCGAAACTCGTTTCAGTTGCCTGAGAAGCGCCGATCGGAAAAGAATTGTTTCTTTTTGCAAAGGTTTGTCACTCGAAACAAAAAATTTCGATGACCTCATCTGAAAATGTGAGTTTTTATACGAATGCGAATCGACAGTACCACCCCTCGGAACCGAAACGACAGCCCACTCTCTCTCCCGCATTAAATGCACCCACGTCGCATTAAATGCCATGATAAGATGTCGTCGTTTCAATGCGTTGCACCACTAATGCTGCAAAACAGTGTCGAGTCAGCACACGTCGCATTAATGTGTCTGACACGCTTTAACGCGCAGAGCGCCTGACAGCGCTAACCAGGTTCATTGAATCTCTAGGTACAAAAGCGTCCATCAGATCCAGTTCGCAAGGGATGAAAATTGTCAGGTCGCTTACAAGGAATCGCGCGAGATCATGTTCGCCAGAGTCCTGTGCCGAGCTCATCCCATTCAGGTCGGAGCGACCAAATCCTCCAATGTGACTTAGTTCCAAGGTTCGATCCAAACCTTAAAAACTAGGGGCTTCTGTTATGCCTGGGAAAATAAAGGGCTGACGTGGGAAAGTCACGTGAAGGGTGACCTGCTCCCTCAGAGCAACACGCACACTGCAGACCTGCCAAAAGATATGAGCTCACACGCGTCCATTGCCCTGCAATAAATCGTGTGAAGTCCTTGGGAAGGGGGAATGGGACGTAAAGCCGGATTATATTCTGACAATCACACCAACCCATGGATTAATGATGATTACACGCTTCAGTTGATATAAATGAAGAAGACCCCTTCATTAAGGGAATTCGACCATTTTTACATTGGAAAAACTCCTCCTCTCCTATAAACACATTTATTTTTTCCAACTCGTGTAAGTCATCCGCTGTTGCGACTGACCCACACTAATATCAATACAAATCAGTGACTAGGACTTGCTACCTTAGCATCCGAACCACTTAAAAAACTCCCTTTGCATTTATTTCGCTTTATATATTCCATTTTCACGTGTATTAGCACCAATCACTTACCACGTGACAATTAGTTGTGCCAAATCCAGTATCAACAGAGATGTCTTAATAGTTTATAGAAATTAAGAGCAGAAGTGTTCCAACTAAATGATGACTCAACTTGCAATATTTTCCTTCGAACTTTGTATTAATTCATTAACTTTCTTGTTTGTTTGCAGTTCGTAATTCTGAAAACAAACTAAATCATTTCTTGAAGTGTTCAAGCAGATTAATGATGCCTCCAACACATCATAACCAATCAAGAATACAAAGAAGAAGGAACGTGATCAAGATCGCTTGCGCGGCGATAGGCCAATCTACTTCACCAGCAGAGTCGACGGCCGCTGTGAGAACGCGCGAAAATGGAGGCGTTTGCTGAATTTTATGATAGATAATTAGTTGAGAGGAGAGCAGAAATGAATAAGTGTTCTGGAGTCTGAAAGATCGTATATTGTGATTCATTAAGAAATGTGAATCATAGCCAGATAAAACTTTAGTTATTTTGTTCATATTTGGTTCTTGGAATTTTTTTTAAAGTTGTTTGTTTATTCATAATAGTAAATGATACTGTTTGTTGAATTGGGGGATTGATTTTGACTCACTGGGAGATTGATTGTTTTTGAGTTTGATTTCCACCGTGACTCCAAACTACGATCTAACTATTAAAACACCATGTTTGGAATAAATTAAATAGTTATGAATGTATTAAATCTAATTGTTTAAGTGATAAGCTTATATTTTTTAAGCGAGATCATTTAGTAAAACTATTTAATTTATTTCAAACTTGAAATGGTATTTTAATTAATTTTTCTTAAAAAATATCATGTAATTCATTTAAACGTAGAAGTAAGTTTCTATATATACATATAGACGTCCATGTTTAAATGTAGAAATAGATTTTTTTTTTTCTTTTTTTTTTTTTTTTTAAAGGGGAATAATAAACTAAGATTGATTAAATTACCTAAGCCAAACCTGAGAACCAAAAGGTATTTAACTGTATATGTATACATATATGCAAAACCCTAACGTCTCTGCATGTTATCCACCTTCTCGTTATCAACTTCACCGCTTCTACGGATACACATACTGATTTAGTGCTTGAAGTGAGTAGAGATACTATGAGGCTGGTGAAACATCGAAACCGATCAAAGAATACGAAGATGGTAACACCACCATTGAATTGATTGTTGGGGAAATTTCTACTTCATCAGTGGACTAAAGGGCATTGTGAGAAAGGACAGAAATTAGAGATAGAAATTGATTATATAACTCGTACATAGCTTGTTGTTACGATGAGAGCAGAATGGAATAAGCTTGTTTATCGCAGTTTTTTGTTACAATGTTGAGTGATGATTATGATTGTTTATTAGGAAAAATTATGATTATTATTGTTTGTTCTTCTTTCTTATAAAACCCTAATTTCATCCCCACAATACGAGGCCCTGTTTCAGTAACACTATAATCTTACCATACTGCTATTACTGGTTCTGTTATTGTTCCAAAGTTCCAAACTATTCCCTTCAGGTTTGTGAAATAACAAAATCCCTTTGGTTAAATATCCCTTTTGTATTTAATTAACCCTACCAATTTAATTATAAGTGGTTTATTATGTCGTAATTTGTTGTTCTTTGATTCTTTAATTTTATTTAACTTGATAGTTGTTAGTTTCTCGGCTATTATTGTAATAAAATAAAGGGTAGAAGTAAATATCCACATTATATTATTTGGTATGACTTTAACGTTAGTAATAATATCTTTAAAACAAAAAGAATAATAGTAATATTATTTGGAAAGGTAATTTTTTCAAGATAATTATAAAGGATAATGGCAGTTTTTGCAATGATCATACTGTAGAAAGATAAAATTAAGTGTAGAGAGAATAAATCGAATAAATTAAATATATAAAAATCCAAAGAAATTTAAAGCTTAATGAAACACTGCTAACATTTTTATTTAAGCATATTTGGCTCCAATTAATCTTCCTATGAAGAATCATCATCATAATCTGTGTAAGACTTTCAAAGAAAGATCCAGAATTGAAGAAAACCGAAGAAGAACTAAAGAAACAGAAGAAAGCTGATATTTCATTAACTGAATTTGAAGTACAGGACTGCCGGCTTTTATCGCTAACTAATTGTAGCTAAAAGAATGAAAATGCACAGCATCATTAACTTTACAACAAAGAACTAAAACGCGCCGTATCAAACTTTAAATAACAAGCTTAACCCACTTAGCTGACTTAGACACTAAAAACTGGTTTATCTCCTCAACAATTTTTATTTTTTTTTTCACTGAGAGTGTTCAGGTCAGTTTACACGTACCTTAACTAATTCTTCAAATTCTGAATTCGACAATTAGGTAAATCTTCTCAATGGTTATCCTTATTAATATTTCAGATGAATCGAATTCAAGATCTTTTGAGTAATACACGGAAGAGTCTTAATTTACTACTAGACCACCCAAGCGTGATTATTCCACCTCAAACTTGGCGACCAAATAGCATGCTTTTCATTATTTCTATCTGATCAACTTGATTATAGTCCAAATAATAATCATAATCTTGATAATTATAATCAGAATAATCATAAATATAATATTATCAATGAAATTTTCAGAACTGCCATGGTAGAAGCAGCAAAATAATGATGAGGAGGAAGAAAAAGAATGAGAGAGGTTAGGGTTTTGCATATTATATTTATTAACAGAACATATATGACCAATTATTTAAAATATACAAATTCTAATTAAATTAAAAAGATAAATACGAAAACCCAATTGGATTTAAATTATAAAACATGTAAAATCTCTGATCTTTCTTCTCACTAACAAGCAGAAAACTATAAACTGTTTCTCAGCTCAACGTTCCACCTCAAACTTGACAATCTAGTAACCTGCTTTTCTTTTTTTTCTTTTTTTTGGCAACATAATTATAGTCCAAATAATAATCATAATTATTTTCAGAATAATCATAAATATAATAAGCCCTTCTTATCACCATCATGATCTTATCTTCTTTTTTTTTTTTTGTGTGTGTGTTTTTTAAATCTTATCTTTATTGTGTTGTTGATTGGCGATTCTGGATTGATGGAAAGTGGTTTAGCAATTTTTGGTTGAAGTTTGCTTGTGGTGGATGGATTCAATCGATGAAGAGTGGTGTAGTATTTCTTATCATCATTTTCATCTCCATAATATTTATAAACAAATCTTAGCTAACATTCTTATTAATCATGCATGAACTAATTAACAAATAACAAATAATTTCTTTATACTAAGCATGAACTAACAATTTAAAAACTAATTTTAATCAGGCCATGAACTAACCAATTAAGAATTAACTTTCTTTTAACCAATTGAGCTAATCACTATAAATTGAACTGAAATCTTTAAACCCAAGAAGCAAATATCATGATATGGCAGTTCCATTTACCATACTCATTTGTTTACTCATTACTACCCGTTTCACTTTAACCGCCACTACTAACACCACCACTATTAACATCTCCACCACCATGAAACCAAAAACCTTTGTGGCCAAACTTCTTCATTTTGATTATGTTTTTCACCATCCTAACGATACACTTGAATATCGTGCTGAACGCATGCTAAACATATCTATTGCTCGATTAGTTCATCTATACGGAAAAGACTCAAAGACTCTTAGTGCTGATGCTAAGCTTTATTCTCTTAAAGAATATGAGAATCAAGCATTTTATGTAAGCTTCAAGATTGGTCAGCCACCCGTTCCACAGATTGCGCTTATGGATACTGGGAGTGACTTTATATGGATCAAATGCTTCGGTAAATATTTCAATTTTTCCAAGTCCTCATCATTTGCTACTGTTTCATGCAATGATAAGATTTTTTGCTCTGACTGTGAGGCCAAGCAATGCATTTTCCAGGTTATATACCAATCTGGTGAAGAAGTAGAAGGAATAATAGCCAAAGAACTATTCACCTTCGGCTCACCAGATGAAGATAAAGGTTTTTCTATTGAGGATGTAGTTTTTGGGTGCAATCTAGAGTATCCTATTTTTGCTGATAAAGTAAATGGAATTTTCGGACTTGCCACCCATAGATCCAGTTACTCTCTGGTAAAAAGACTTGATTCTAAATTTTCATATTGTTGTAATAACATATTTGACCCGGAAAATGACAATAGTAAATTAATTATTGGCGACGGGACACAGCTTTCCGGCCCTTCGACACCTCTTATTAACGACAATGGCAAATACTACGTTACTCTTGAAAGGATTAGTGTAGGGGGAATAACGCTTGACATAGATCCCAACGTATTCGTGAGAACTGATTGGCACAAAAGTGGAGTAGTTATTGACAGTGGTAGTGAACTGACCTGGTTAGTCGAAAGTGCATTTGAAAAACTTGCTGGCCATGTTCATTTTTATCTTACAAGAAATTATGGTCTGCCTCGTTTCACTGAATTTTATGGTGCAAAGCAGGGCTATCTGACGTGCTATTCGGGCTCATTGGATGTTGTTAAAAATTTTCCATGGGTGAGATTTCATTTTGCAGATGATACAGAACTGGTTTTGGATTCAAAAAGCCTTTTTTACCAATTAACCAGAAATGTGATCTGCTTCCCTTTTGCTTCGAGTGTTCAGAAAAATATTCCCGATTTTAATATTATGGAATTGGTTTTCAACAGATTATATGTGGGCTATGACCTTGAAACGAGAAGTATATTTGTAAGTGTGAAGACCAAAACGGTGCCGTGTCACTTACCAACACGCTATCGTTTCAAGCATGAATCTGGACCATCAGTTTTGAGAAGATCCAACGCTGTGCTTAGTCCATCCTGGTCAACGATACATAAGTGAACTTTTTCTCTTTAGTTTTTAAGTTTAGTAATTCGATTGAAACAGGTTGGTATTTGCTCTGCTAGGGTTCATCCTTTGTTCTGAAATCTTGGTTCTGTGTAACGGGTTGAGTGATTGATTTTTCATTCTGTTTGAGGGGGTTTTGTCTCTCGGTTGGTTGGTTCTCAGTGTATAGTTTCCAAGGCTATTAGTTACCAGATAGGTGATTTCGGGTTTGATTGAATCTTTCGATCTTGTGTCTGTAATCTATAAACTGCTTTCCTAATAGTGCAGTGGGCTTCGATTTTTCTGGAGCTCAACGTGGCGTAGCCTTCCCAATCTTGGAAAGGTGAACCACGGTAAAATTGTGGTGTTCTTAATCTTTGTGGATGTGTCTTATTTGGTTATAATCTATGGTTTGTAGTGTGTTATTACAACAATATTTCCAGATGACCATCGACTGTGATTTTGATGCTTGATTATAATATTAGAATGGTTTATTATCTTTTCTTTCAATTGTGATAATAGCTTGTTAGCAAGCCTTATATTTCGTTTCTTCGCAAGGTGTATGATCAACTTCACAATATATCTTAATTACAATTTAAAAACTAATATCTGTTCATAGAACTTCCAATATTCTTCGTTAAAAAAGGAAAAAAAAAAAAAAAAAAAAGGAACTATTTTAAATTCTATATCAAATATATGGGCCCTTTGAAGAAAGGCAAAGTTAGATCAAATACTTAAATCTATAAAAATCCACACTAATTTAAAGCTTAGTAAACACTGCCAACTTTTTATTTAAGCATATTTCGCTCCAATTATCTTCCTATGAAGAACATTACCAAATCTGTATGTAGTGATGATATAGGTGATATGTAAGTTTGATGTGGCTGCCATTTAGGTTTGGTGTTGGTACAGTTTAATGTGTTTGCAAGTTTGATGTTGTGGAGGTCATATTAGGTGATGATGGAGTTCAGATTAGGTGATGAAATTATGCAGGTTGTTGGTGGTGGAAATTCATTTTTTTTTTTTTTTTTGGTCATGTTGATGGTGTGCAGATTAGATCAGTCGCAGAAAAATAAGTTTGAATTGCAGCAGCTTATTCAATACAATCGAAGCTAGTTGAGAAGTTGTGGAAACTGAAGTAATGTTGAAGATACAAAGAAATTCAAGGAGCAGCAGCAATGTTGAAAGTAATAATTGAGATGAAGAGCAAAAGCAGCTGGTGTGAGATGCTATGTAGTTCGGCTTGAGAGGGATATTGACCATAAGAAGTCAAAAGTGTTACACACTGTAATTTTAGAATATGTAATGTAAAAACACGCTGTTGTTTTAAGCTAAGTAAGAAGCTTATAAGAAATTGCTTCTTCCCTCTCTCTGTAATTCATTCAACTGAAATGCAAACACTCAAGTTACAGTAACTTTTCATCCGGAAAATCTCTCTTTCTTCACATTCATAAATTATTTTAGCACTATTTTAGTTCTTTACAAAAGCGGCAGCGTCTTGACCTTCTCAAACGACTCTGTTAACTTCAAAACCATGCACTCTCATCGTTTGACTTCCTATGGTCAACATTTCCCCTCAAGCCAAAAGCATAAATTTTGACATACAACCTTCTTTTAGCCAACATTTCCCCGCAAGCAAAACTACCTTCTGTTTTAACACCAAACTGCAGTTAATACAGGCATCATTTCTCCTTCAAACCATTAATTTCATTAGCAATCACTTCATAACCACAAGACTATAACAAAAAGAAACATCACCTTCATTAACACAGAACATTACTTCATTATCCACAGGATTATAACAAAAGACATCACCTTAGTACCACAAGATAGTACTTCAATCTGCATTTTTATCATACACACTTCACTACCCCAAGACTATAATAAAACATAGCATCTGCAATTTAAACACACCACACACACTTCATTAACCACATCATACAACAATTACTACTCATTACTTCCAAGACTTTAAAAAAACACCTTAGTAACCACAGCCAAAACTTCAGTAGCCACAGCACACCACTTCATTACCCACAGAACTATGATAAAGCACATTACTTTAGTAATCTCGCACTCACCTCGCAATACTACGTTATCCTTCAAGTGTTTCCAGATCAACTCATTGATTAAAAAAACTCAACACCACTTCAACAACAAGCTAATACAGTAATACTCCATCAGGTCTCAACTATACTACCACATTAACATTTCAAATGGCCATTTCAAATACATCATAGCAAAGGAACCATTTCCAAAAGTCATCAAGTCTATGTTTGATATAGTGAGGTTTTAGCACAAAAGAGAAAATGAACCTTGAACCTTAGAGAAAGAATACTATAAGAAATTCAGATTAAGAATGAAATAAAAGATCAAAAGGTTAGATTCATTTACGCAAGAAAGAGTATTATATAATAAAGGATTTCTTGTTCAACAATATTGTCACATCAACCAACAAGGGTTGACTAATGTTTGTCTAAATAGGAAAGTATCATTTATTTTGGTTTGGACCACAAAACAAATCGGAAAGATAACTTTATTCCCTAGGACCACTTAAGATATTATGACCACTGCAAAGTCATAATATCAAGAGACAAAGATAAACAATATCTTTTTCACTTTATTAGACATGCAACTCTGTTAGGTTGCAAATATTTGAAGGCGAGTGTAACACAAACCGTTGTGCACACACACTCGAAATGAAACAAGCCAAGACACAAGTCTGGCAAACGTGTACACTAATAACTTATATGCACACACACAACAGATTAAACAAGCCAAATAAAGATTGGCATCAGTGTGCACACATAACTGTTGTGCACACACACAACTCATAAGTTTGATAAAAATGAATTTTCTACAATACCCATACCTTCCTCCATTTTTTCCTAATCCCCGAGCTAATCCCTAACTTCAAATCCTGCCGAGAGTTTTGGTTCTTCACCCCCAACTTACCTTTATCCCCTTTCTTCGTCTTCAAATTTTGGACTGCCTTTCGGCACCGACTCCAGTGCATTCCCAAGGACAATCCTTTTTTTCTATATCGAGTTACTGTAGCACAAAGAGTTTCCTATCGAGTTGTTGTACACGAATTAGTTTCAAGGGAATGTTTTTATGGAAATCTGAAAACTTGTATCTAAATGTTTTTATGAAAATGTATTTAGAATACAGTTTTTCAAATTTCCACATAGCATGTCTCGTTTACTCGAGTAACCTATGGGATGAGGGTCGGGGCATGTCGTGTCACTGTAGGACTTTCGAAGAAAGTTCCAGAATCGAAGAAAATCGAGGAAGAATTAAAGAAACAAAAGCTGATCTTTCATTAACTGACACTGGCTTTTATAATTATAGCTAACTGATTGTAACTGAAAGAATGAAAACCACCGCATCACTTAAACTTTAGAGTAATGCTAGTTTTACAAAGACACATACAAAAAGGCATACAAGACAATCTCAACCTTATTTTCATGATTTCTCTCTCTCTCTCTTTCTCTTTTTCCATGTTTTTTCTTTGTTTTTTTTCTTCTGGATGATGTCACTTTGTAGCTCTCTTTTGTAGGTCTTTGTAAGGATGACATTTTTCTAAACTTTATTTAACAAGATTTTAACCCACTAAATTGACTTGTCAGACTTTAAAACGTGATTTAAAGTCTGCTCAACATTCCACCTCAAACTTTACGACCAAATAACCTGCTTTTCATTATTTCTATCTGAACAGCATGATTTTCGTCAAAATAAAATCATAATCTTGATAATCATAGTCAGAATGATCTAAATATAATAATCCTTCTTATCACCATCATGATCTTCTTCTTCTTCATCAGCAAGTGCTTCAGAGGTGGTGGAAATTCTCTTGTCCTCCAATAGCAAACACCATCAACTTCTGCGTATATCTCTAATTTCTGTCCTTCCTACAGTGACCTTCGGCTCCACTGATGAAGTAGTAATTTCCCCAACGATCTAATTCAACGGTGGTGTTACCATCTCTGTATTCTTTGATAGGTTTCGATGTTTTGCAAACTAGATAATCGCTCCTGCTCACTTCAAACACTGAATCCGTCTTGTTATCGTATTTGAAAGCTGCAAAAAATAAGAGTTTTTTGTTGAGAATGATAAAACATAACATTTTAAAACAGGATGTTAAGTATATGGGAAATTAGAGATGGGAAATTACTAAGAGTATCGCCCACTATAAACTCATCATTTTCTTTCTCCATTCATTGAAAGAATTATTGGATGGAGAATTCTCCACGAAGTTTCATTGCCTCAAACCACAAGTTCTTTATTGTCACAAAAGGGATAGCTTCAGAGAAGACAGATAATAAGAAAGCGAGAGCTAATATTGTGAATGAATGTTCAGAACTGCCATAGTAGAAGCAGCAAAATAATGATGAGGAGGAAGAAAAAGAATGAAGGGTTAGGGTTTTGAATATTATATATTAACAAATATTAAAATTCTATTTAAATTAAAAAGATAAATAAGAAAACCCAATTGGATTTAAATTATAAGACCTGTAAAATTTATTTACTTCCTAATTTCTGTCCTATATAGTGGGAGATTTAAATAGGCAAACTACTTGGACCAAGGCTTTCGTATCTAACATTATCATCAAAAACTTCGATTTCAGTTAAAAAATAGTCATATATGTTTCTTGTTGTGGCTTAAAAAATGACACTATCACTAGCTAGCCTTTATTTTATTTATAATAATACTTCCTCAATTTAATGGATAAGAAAAGAAAGAACATCTAATTTATTATTTTGTTCACATCACATGATAAAATAATAAAACTGTTATAAAAAATGCATGTCAATTTGCTACTGTTTCATGGACACAAGGTTTTTTTGCTGTGACTGAGGCCAAGCAATGCATTTTCCAGGCTATAACCAATCTGGTGAAAAAGTAGAAGAATAATAGCCAAAGAGCTATTCATCTTCGGCTCACCAAATGAAGATAGGTTTTTCTATTACGGTGTAGTTATTGCCTTTTGGGTGCAATCTCTTTATATTTCATT